TGATGGGTCTAGCAGGGACATAGATGGATGGACATGGACGGACGGGGACACACACACACACACACACACACACACACACACACACACCCCGACACAAGTGAATTCCTGAAGCTCAATGGCCAGTCAATCTAACCAAATTAAGGTTTAGTGAAAGACTTAAATTTTAAAAGTCTCAAAAAGTAAAGGTGGAAAGCAATTGAGCAAAGTTACCTAAGCACCAACCTTGAGTCTACACAGTATGTACACATATGTATGCACAACTGCACATACCCAAATTAACAAATACATATATCACACACCAATACACAGAAAATATATAATTTAATGTGAATTAGCAATCTTCTTGACATTTTGACTGAGAGCCTGGCCTTTAATTCCTTAACTGTCTCTCTAGCCCAGAAATCTTTCTTGTTGTTGTTGCTGTTGTAGCTTTGTGCAAGACAGAGGTCAACTGCTTGTGTCACTGCTCAGATGCTGTCACTTTATTTAGAAAGGATTTGTCACTTGAACCTGAGACTCACAGGCTATGCTATGCTGGCTAGCTAGTGAGTCCCAGTCATCTTATCTCCAACTCCCCAGGTGTTAGGATTAGAAGCCTGTGACACCACAACTGGATTTTTACACGAATGTTGGGGACTGAACTCAGGTCCTCATGCTTCCGTGGCAATCACTGTACTAACTAAGCTAGCACCTAGCACCTATTATCTCATTATTTTATAAATTTTTTATTTGCATATCTATATCTATATATATGTATGCTTACAGGTAGAAGTCAATACAGCATTTTCTGCAACAACCCTCCACTTAGTTTTTAATCTCTCAATGAAAACAGAGCTCATTAACAGGCTAGTAAGCTCCACGGACCTTCAGGTCTCCACCTCTGTCCCACAGATCAGAACTTAGTTCCTCAGACTCGAATGGCAAGCACTTTACTGGTTAAGCCATTTATCCCAACTAATTTGTAAAGGTTATTTTAAGGAATTTTAAATAGTTAGAAATGAACAAGGCTTTGCCCTACTCAAGAAGGAATTTTGTTGTTATTTATCATGCTGGGGATTGGGGGGGGGGGCTACATACATCCACCAACAAGCATGTACTGAGCTTTTGTTACTGACTGCAGTGGGTGCTGGTTCTAGTCAGAATAACTTAGACTAAGCCCAAATCCTGCAAAAGAAAAAGAAAGGGGGTATACTCTCGGGCCTTGGCTACTTCAAGTACAACTAATACTAAAACGCAGTGTTACATCCAGATTTTATGGTCTAAGGAAGAATCCTTTAGACAATTATTTATGAGGGGATGGGGACACTGGCTCCTTTGAGTAACTGATGAAAACCCCACATATATTCATTAACAAAGAATGTATACATATACAAACATTTTCAAAACTCTGTGCGTATTTGCAAAGCCCCTGATTAGCAGATTCTTTCACATATTTTTGTTTTGGTCAGGAAATTATCAATATTGTGTGTACTAAGACTGAAAAAACTCTGAAACACGGAACTGAAAGAATACCATTTGCAAACAATTTAAGACCCTGTTAAGCCTTCATTAAGCTTTCTGGGTATTTTTAACTTGTTACATTTCTGGCTGTTAACTGGGCTTTTGTACATACACTTACCTATCTTTTAAAACATAACAAAAATGTAGTAAGGTATGATTGTACATGGCTACAGTCCTAGCACTTAGGAGATGAAGAAGGCAGGCAAAATGATCAGAGGCAGCCTCAACTAAACATTTGAGACCAGCCTGGACTACATAAGACCCTGTTACAAATAACAAAAACAAGATAGAAACAAATAAACAAAAACCCAGCCTATATTTTATATTTACACACACACACACACACACACACACACACACACACACACACACACACGGAATCAACACTCATTTCTAACGGTTCTATTTTAAGTTTAAAAAAAAAAACAAACTTAACTCTGAATATCATTCTTTTAACTATAAACATTTTTTTTTACTATTCTAAAAAAAAGAGCTTATCCTTTAAAATAATTTCAAACACACTCTTCTGTATCTCTACAAGACTCTTGCTCCTCTGCATCCTGTCAACATTTTCTACATTTGCAGAGGTCTCAGAAGCATTTATGGAACACAACTGTGCCTACCTGCTGACCGTAATTCAATAATTTCAGGGCTAAAGAGAAATCAAATGCTTAGATTTTGCTTCTCTTTTGCTTCTCTGATCTTTCAGTACCATTTCTAACAGTGGCAACTTGCTCAACACAGGTGTGACTATTCTGAAAAAGTATGGTAAAGTTTTCAAAATTAAGATTCTAGCCTGCAAAGTCAGTTTTTATAGTGAATGAGAAAGTTTCTCTACTCTAATATCTACTAATAATGAGTTCAAAGTAATTATCTTATGTATAAAATTATTTTATAACTATGTGACTCCTAGACTCTACAATCTACTACAGTAAACATTCAAATGACAGAACTGCCACAGATGACCTAAGAATACAGTTCAGTGTTAGAGCTAGGCAGTGGTGGTGCATGCCTTTTCCAGCATTCAGGAGACAGAGTTCTACAAAGTGAGTTCCAAGACAGCCAAGGCTACATAGAGAGACCTTGTCACACTTTAACAACAACAACAACAAAAACAAACAAACCAAAAAACACAAAAACACAGGTTCAGTGTTAAAACCCATACCTAGCATGTATAAATAAAGTTCAAATTCAATATCCAGCACAGGGGTGGAGTGTTTACAGGTAATGGTTTTAGTGTCTCATGCTTGGACTCCTAACATATACTATATTTCTTCACTCAACAGTTCAGTTCAAAAAGCCATGCTATCAACAAGAGTTCTGCAACCATTCCCTTTGCTATTTCTCTTCATAGCAGTTCTCTGTTCTAGCTGATTAAAGCTCATAGGAAACCACCCCCACCCATTTAAAAAACCTTCTACTTTGACCTTGCCTATCTTCTCCATGAGAAATGCCACATTCCTCATCTCATGTTTTCGTGTGTGTGTGTGTGTGTTTCCCCTTCTCCAACTTTTTGAGTATTGGAGACAGAATTCAGAGCCTAACATGTATTAAGTAAAAAAGTTCTTCCCTAGGATTACAGTCCTAGCCTATAAAAATCTGCACTTAAATAGTTATGTAATACTAAATTTATATAGCCATGCAGAATCTTACTAAAGTATTACTGCTTATACATCTACTCTTAAACTCAACGTTCTGTTGCCTATTTATTTATTTTGAAGTAGCTATCATGTATAGTTACTCTTTAAAGATTCAAGCCACCTCTGGAATACGTTAAAAAGAAATGTAGAGATTAACATTTTCCAACACTTATTTGGAGTAAAAGATTTCTTAAGGAATTAAAAAATTCACAATGCAGCCATTCCTGATGAGACCTGATAGGCTAGGGTCAGATGGTTGGGGAGGAAGACCTCCCCTATCAGTGAATTTGGGAAGGGGCATGGGAGGAGATAAGGGAGGGAGGTTAGGATTGGGAGGGGCCAAGAGAGGGAGCTACAGCTGGGAAACAAAGTGAATAAACTGTAATTAATAAAAATAAATAATTTTTAAAAAATTAAAAAAAGAAAATAACAAAAAAATTCAGAAGGATAAAAAAAAAATTTTTAAGGACTTCCCACCAAAGTCACACTCTGAAATACCTGAGAAAATAGGAGTATGTTTATGGCTAACAGTCAGTGACTGAATTCTGAAGGCTTATTTCTGACATTGGTGGATGAATACATACGTTATAGCTGTCACCTCTCAGATACAGCAGACTTTACGCTGTCAACATCCTTTACATACTAGTCTGCGGTTTCTCTGAATTTCTCACATCTGTATTTTTACATTAAGGCTCACTGTTTTGGCTATAATTCTTTAATACTATAAGGTAGCCACAAAAGACAGTCTTAGAATCACTATTACAGAATAAGTATACTTTGTCGTTAACAATGCTGCTTTTATTCAACTCACTAAAACCGCATTAACAGTGAAATATTTTATTACTATTTGTTTTGGTTTTGTTTAGATACAGAGCCTCACCATGTAGCTCTGGCTGGCCTCAAACTCACAGAGATCATCCATTTGCCTCTGCCTCCTGAGTGCTGGGATTTAAGGCATATGCTACTACACTTGATATATTTATTAAGGCACTGTATTTATTCAATAATGAATTCTAGGATAGCAATGCAATGAAAGTAAAAAAAAAAAAATTCTATGTGCTAGCTACTCTCTCTAGATTTACCAAGTGAAGCTACAAATATGGAGGTGATCTGAGTCTATTCTCAAGAAGCTGCATTACCAAGTATGGCTCCCTGAAAGCTTGGAAATACATGTTTTAAATAAAACTAACACCATTCAATTTTAGATAACCCCGATATTGGAAAAAAAAACCTATCAGAAAATATTTTTATTTGATTAACTAGCTTTTATCAGAAAATATTTATATCTGGTTAACTAGCTTTAACATTGAGTCCACTTTTGAGAGGGGGAATGCTTCTTCTTCTGCTCTGAGTAGTAGAAGTTCTGCAGAGCATAGCTGCAACTAGTCATTTCTAGGGCCAGCAGAGTAAGAAGTAAAGGAGTGCAGCTCAGTTCTTCATTCACAGGCCAAAATGCACCGTTATTAGACAAAAACACCTTTCAAATACCTCACCTGGGCACAAAAGCACTGAGAGAATAACTTACTAACCTCTGGTGTTGGTAGCTGGGAGAAAAAAGGTTATTTGAAAGCACATTCTTGCTTCAAAATGAAGGTATGAGGGAGAAAGGAAGAAAGACAGACACATTCAGAGAAAGCAGAGATAGCCCAAACAAAAAAAAAAAAGATCTAACACAAAGATAAATGACAACAAACCTATCCATAAAACAGAATTTTATGTCTCTGCTTTAATGTATTTTTTAGAACTTTAACTGACTCTTGAAAATGGAAAACAGTAGTCAGTTATATAGAGACATCATTATGTGAATTATTCAGTATTATAAAATTACTTAAAATATTTAGGAAATAAACTAAAACTTACCGCGTCACTGTCTCTGTGTGGATTCAGCCTACTATAAACAGCTTCAATAACATTGCGCCTAAAAAGATAGGTTTTTTTTATTATAAACAATTTTAAGCTCATATTTCAAATACTTTGTCCTGACTACAGAAAAAAATTGTTACACTAAATACTTGCAGAGAAAAATTTCCACATTGTACTCATAATAATTTTTTTTTGTTTTGTTTTGTTTTTTTGTTTTTTGAGACAGGGTTTTTCTGTGTAGCCTTGGCTGTCCTAGACTCATTTTTGTAGAACAGGCTGGCCTGGAACTCAGAGATCTGCCTACCTCTCTGAGTGCTGGGATTACAGGTGTATACCACCACACCTGGCTCATAATAATTTTTTTGATCTTACAAAATCCACTTATTCTTATCAAGCAAAAGACTTATCTTCAAGGAATGTATTTCCTTAACTAAAAAAAAAAAAAAATCCTGGGCTAGTGAGATGACTCAGTGGACAAAAGTGCTCTGTGCCAAGTCTGAAGATATGAGTTCAACACCTACAACTCACAGGATGTAAGGAAATACCATTTCTGCCAAGTTTGTGCTGACATACACATAAATGGCCGCACCCAAACCCTGTACAAAATCCCATCTTTTCAGATGTAGTGTTTCACCTCTAGGTAACTGATCTACTCCTGACCTGTTTTCAAATGATTTAATTACTAATTTAAAGTGAATTAAAAATTAGCTCTTTTTGTTCTACTTACTTGCCAGCAAGACCTCCCCCAGGAGGTAAATTTGGGATATTTTCTGCAGACAAAACGCGCATGACATGGGCAAGATCAGGCATTCCATCTTCCCCAGACTTCTCCATAATTTCTGTAAATTTAGGAATAAGACATTAAAAAAAAAAAATCAATGATATAAACATGTTCATTCTAACATTTCCATAAAATATAAACTAGAATTAAATGTGTAATGACAAAAGAACAGTAAATAAAAATAAAGTCAATGAGTGAACTGGTTTATAATCCCAAGAAATGGTTCTCACCAACATAGTAACACATGGAGGAACACTGCGGAGTGTGCAGGGTGTATGCACACAGCCCAGTTTCTTCCTTGATTACTCTCTACCTTATTTTCTGAGCCAAGGTTTTTCATTGAACCTGCCCTCTGTTCTTTCTATTGCTGAGATGCACCACCATGCCTGGCTTTTACATGGGTGCAGGAGGACTTGAACTCAAATCCTTATGTTTTTTGTGATAGGTATATGACCAAATAAGCAATTTTTTCCATCTGAAAATTTTTTAAATTTTACATAAAAATAATATAATGCAATAATACAAGCAGAGAACAGTGGTAAATGCCCAAACACCCAACAGTCAGGAGGCAGTGGAAGGAGAATCAGGATAAAGGCCGAGACTACAAAATGGGTTTCTGACAGCCAGAGCTACAGTGAGGCTTTTGTCTAAAGCCATTAGAGGAAAACAAAAACAATGGTTGTATAAGAATCATGAAAGAGCCAGGTGGCGGTAGCTCACGCCTTTAATCCCAGCATTTTTGGGAGGCAGAGGCAGGCAGATCTTGGTGAGTTTGAGGGCAGCCTGGTCTACAGAGCAAGTTCCAGGACAGCCAGGACTTCATAGAGAAACCCTGTCTAGAAAAAACTGATATAAAAAATTTAACTATTTTATATACATTTATACTTATACACTTATGTTCTATAGCAATTTAAAGAAAATGAATCATGGTAGTTATAAAATGAAACTTTACATTCTCCATTTCTGTATCTAACAGAACAGAACACTTTAAAGCAGATGTGTATGCATGCATGTGCGTGTTTGTATGTGTGGGAGAATATGTACAATGAAGTGTTCTGTAGTTTTGGGAGGGAGTATAGAGGATGGAGAGTAAGAGTAGGACTCTCAGCTGAGCATGAGCCAGCTGATATTGCTAGTCCTGCTGGTTAACTTGCAGGGGAGAGCTCTATCCTGGGGTCACTGGTAGGTAGCCATACACACCCATGCTTCTGAAGCTGAAACATTTAACTGCAGACCCCATTTTCTCAACCCTACTTCTTTTTTTTTTAATCTCTCTTACCCTCCCTCCCTTCCTCTTTCTCTCCCCCCTTTTCTTTCTAGAACTCTTGTTTGTAGCTCAGTCTGTCCTCAAACTTCAAGTAAATCCTCCTGCCTCTGCTCACAGTGATGAGGTCATAGTCTAAGACAAAAGCAAAGTGTCTACACAGGTTATCCACATAGAAGACAAGCTCTGTAGCACTGAGCCACACCCCCAGCTCCAGTAACTCAAAGTATTTAAAGTTCATTTAAAAGATTTTTATTGTGCATGTATGAGTGTCTTACCTCCTGTCCAGAGGTCAGAAAAGGGTGCCAGATCCCCTGGAACAGGAGCTACTTACTGGAAGTTGTGAGCTACCAGGTGGGTCCTGGAAGCTGAACCCAGGCAGGTCCTCTGAAAGAGCAGCAAGTGCACTCAAGTGCTAAGTCACCTTTCCAGACTGTTTATTCTATCCTAAATCACACATGTCCACATGTGGGCACTACTTTTAACACAAGAACCCAGCAACCTACGCAGCCTCTCCAGGTACACATACCACTTTTACAGCATATCACAGATTCTGGCTTTGGTTTCAGCATCTACCACTCCCTTTTAACCTCACCATGACTCCCTGACTTCTACGTCAATCAAACACATTCTCTGCCACCAGCTCTTCACATGTACTCTCTCCTGCAGTTTGAAATGCTTTTCCTGCCAATCCTATTCATGCTGTAGTTGCAACATCAATGTTACCTTTTAAATCCTTCCTTGACCTATACCTTGAATAGCTGAGTGGGTTATCAGAGAGTGATATCTAACTGGAGGAAGCATGACACATGAGGACATACTTTTGAAGGATAAATCTTTCGCTTGGTATACCTGGCCCCCTGCACCCTTGCTTTACAGTCCATAGAAGCATGTTTCTACTTCCCTGACATTCTGCCTTGCTTCATTCAGGTCCAATGGAGCCAGTGGGCCATGGATCAATCCTCCTGAAATTGAACTAAAATATGTATTTTCTTTCTTAAATTGTTTATCTCAGGCATCTTTAGGGAAAAAAAAACAAGCAAACAAACAAAAAACAACCAACTGCTTTTATTCTGGACCAGGCAATTTTGGTTGTGGGACAGTCCTGGGCGCTAGGATAAAAAGTGGTGTCCCCGATCTCTTATGCATTAGATGTCTTTAACACTGCCACATGTTATGTGGAGACAAATCTCCCCAAATGAGAAATGTAGTCTGGTACATTATCAATCAGTTTCCACACCGTCTACTAATGTCACTTCAGTCCAATTCACCACTACTATTTGGCAGTGCATTAATAACACAATAAATAATGAAAATGTCTGTGTGAAGGGAGAGAAGGGATGACAAGAAGATTATTTCAGGTCTATAAGCAGGGCTTACTTTTCTTACAATGAAGAAATTGTACACTGGTTTCCATCCCCTAAACATCTTTAAACATACTGTTTTGAGTATATATCCAGACAGTTACAAGGGCAGGAAACTCATTCTCCTCACAGTGACAACTGATCCAAGAATACTTTCTTTCCTTCCTGGAGAAAACAAAAACAAAACAAAACAAACCTGCCTTACCTTCAACCCGTGATTCCAAGTGCTTATCCAACTCTGAATCTTTTTTCACTGCTTCATCTGACACCTTGGGGGCATTTGAAAAGCAAACTAATACAATACTCATGTTATCTCGACTTCCCTGCATATTAAAGAAAAGAAAAAGGAAAATTTTTTCTATTGTTCAACAATTGTCTATTATTTAGTTCCAGAGTTACTTTAAGCAATTAAAGTTTATTTAGTCATCCAGAATGTATACCTTAGATATTCCTATTTCAAAGAATTATTTAAAATATAACCCTAAAGAACAAGGTGTCTACATATAAGTATAAACGGAGTTATTCTTGGACTTTAAATCTGTGTAACTATTTTTACCCACCAGTTCACAGCCTGAGAGATGAAGACAACTTTATACTTGTTATAGCTTCTAAACAGTTTTTCATTCAAAATTACACAATCCTAAGAGTAACTTAAGCCTAAAACATACTTTTAAACATCTGGAGAAATTTCATGCTAAACAACATAACTCCACTCAACTCTGCTGAAAATTATTGTCATGAACTTAAAAAGCTACATGGTAGAAGGTAAGAGTCATCTCCCAAAAGTTATCCTTTGACATCCCACACACACTCTCTCACAATAAATGAAAATGTAAAAATTTGATGGACATTTTATGTGAAAAAGAAATTCATGTTTTAAATGGTTCATTAAGTTACATTAAACAGTGGGATTTGCTCAGATTGCCAAATTATAAACTTTACCTGGAAACAGGTTTCTTCTCTCTCTCTTTTTAGAAACGGTCTCAAGGATTGCCTTACAATCCTCCTGCCTCAGCCTAAGAAGTGCTGAGATTGTAGGCATGTGCCACCTGGGTTAATACGGACAACTTTTAATTCCAGGGTCTTTGGAGAGCAGTTAAAACAGCTTGTTTTGCTGGGTGGTGGTGCATGCCTTTAATTCCAGCACTCAGCAGGCAGAGGTAGGCAGATCTTTAAGCTCAAGGCCAGCCTGGTCTACAGCACAAGTTCCAGGACATTCATGGCTATACAGAGAAACAGTGTCTTGAAAAACCAAAACAAACAAAACCAGTTTGTTATACATAAGTATAAATTTTACTTGTCCTTTTAATTATGGCCTTACAAATTATATTAAAAAGAAAGTACAGAATACACTATAAATGCCATGACTGGGCAATAAATTAAAATGTTCTAACTTTTCTTTAGGTGTATAAGTATTTTAACATATGAAATTGTTAGAACTGCTTCCATTTTTGACAGTATCAAGCCTTTTGTGTTTTCTCTGAGATGGCCTCACCATGTGATATAGTCTAAGCTGGCCATGCAACTCATGCTCCTCTGCCTCTCCTTCACAAGTGCTGAAGTAACAGGAATGTGCTAAGTCTAAGAAATACTTTCTTTTAAGCTTTTCCCTCCACTTCAGCATTCACCAAGACTCATCAAGGGTGGTTATAGGTTTTGTTTGAGAATGAGGTTTGCCCAGTGAAGTGAAAAAAAGTCAAGGTTACATCCACTGCATACTTCTCAGTGGGTCTGGCCAGAATGTACACTGGCCTTTATGCAGCCCAGACCTGCCACCTTCTGAGAATCCACATGCTATGACCAAAAAGACAGGCAAGCCTTAGAGAATAACTGCTTCTACCTTCCAACGTAAAGAGCAAGTTGGAAGGAGTGAAAGGTCTTTGCTAGACTTTACATTCTCTCTACAGAGTCCTGAGATTTGGTAGATGTGTAACCAGATGCTAAAGTGTCTAGAAAACCGGGGCTCTAATACTAGCCAAAGTAATTTAATTACTTAATGAAACCTACCAACTTTTATGACTATTGAAAATGCTGCATTTGGTTATATGACTATACATTCAACTATAGCATATGAATATAGTTAAAGCAAAAAATTTTAATCTAAAAGATAAACTATAAAATATATTCAAATTAAATATGACTGATTTTTTAAAACAATTTTATGAACAGATGGAAGAGTTGGCAGACACTTAGAATCTTCTAATCATATCCTATTTTGTAACACTAAGAACATTATTTAACAATTCCTAAATAGATATGCTATCTATAAAAGCTCCACTTGATTTTTATAAATTATAAAATACAGACCCTATCATTTATAAAGATTAACTGAAAGAAATTTACACTTAGCCCTCAGTCATGTATAATTTCAACACTGCTTCTATTTCTACAGAAAGACGACTGTCCCTAACACAAAACATAAGTGTTTCAATTTTGCACAGCAACTGAGCGTCTTCCCATTTTATTAGAACAAGCTATCCTTGCATAATTAGTAGTTTTCATTAAGCCCAAGGTTAGAACTTTTCTTTATAAAAAGAACATCTATCCTGAATAACAAAAACAATTAGCTATTTAAAAACTTTATTTCAATACCTTTTCTTTAATACTGCTTCAGCAGATAGCAGTAATACACTCAAGAATTTGAGTATTAATAACTAACAAATTAAGTCAAAGAAGGTATTATCCCGACAAGGGTATCTAAATTTAGGCAAAGAGATTTTGATGTGGTTGGTTCTGAAGATGAATGTTGCATGATTACAAAGAAGGGTCCAGAAGTATGCCTTCACACAGCCTATGTGATGGTTTGGGAGGTTGTTACAATAAAATCAAATCCTCATAATAAATCAGTGCAGTCTAGGAAATGAGGAAGCCATGTCCACTGTCCCCAAGGTTTGAGAGGTTGTACAGTTTACAACAGGAACACATGTCTCAGTAGTAAGTGCATTTTTAAAAGAATGAAATAAAAATATTTTATAATTGTTGTATCTTAATAGGAAGTGTAGATTCATTAAGTTTGAATGAAATCATGTAATAGCTAAAATCGGTTAAAAATTAATCTGGGCTAAGGTGCACTATAAAAAAAATTACAGCAACAGGGCTAAGAAAAGACTGAAATCTCTTTATATATAATTAAGCTATACTGTATGTGTTCAAGCCCTAGAACATATACACAATGGGAGAGAGAGCCAATTAATACACATTTCCCCTAGATCTCACCTGCTGTGGTACATGTGCAAGCAAACACACACGCAAAAAAAAAAAAAGAAAGAAAGAAAAAAAAAACCATTTTAAAAGAAACTGCTAACCACACCCACTCCAATATTCTGTCTACTTTTTTGCCCTTTTTACGAAGCTATTTCCTACAAATTACAATGGAAGTACTGAGTTTAGAACTAAAATTATTTTGGGACACATAAAGTACATTTTCTGGGCTGAAGAGATGGCTCTGTAGTTAGAAGCACTGGCTGCTCTTCCAGAGAAACCTGGGTTCAACTCCCAGCACTCACATGGAAGCTCACACCTGTCTGTAACTCCAGTTTTAGGAGATCAACACCCTCACATAGACATGCATGTAGACAAAACAGCAGTGTACATCAAATAAAAATGTTTTTTACAAAAAGCACATTTTTCCATGTTGCAGGAATAAATCAGAATGACCCTACCTTTCAAAAAAAAAAAAAAAAAAAAACCTTCCTAAATTTTTTCCAATGACTAGATGTTTTAAAAAAAAGTTTCCGATTTATAAAAACTTTGGTATATAACTAAATTTAAGAAAATAAAATATTTTGAAAGAATAATTTCAAGGAATACTGATTTTCTTTTTCTTTCTTTCTTTCTTTTTTTTTGAGACAGGGTTTCTCTGTATAGTCTTGGCTGTCCTGGACTTGCTCTGTAGACCAGGCTAGCATCAAACTCAAGATCCACTTGCCTCTGCCTCCCAAGTGCTGTGATTAAAGGTGTGTACCACCAGGCTAGGCTAAGAATGCTTACTTTTATAATGTAAAATAAAGCAACAAGCATATGATGATTGTTTCTGTAAAGTACAGAAACAAACCCAATTTTTATGCTTGAAAATGCATATTAGTAAATAGAAGCACATGCAGTTGTAAACACCTAAATGCAATGAGACTAGAAAGGAATGGAAAGATGAGTAACTTCTTTGTATTTATTTAAAAAAAAATTTTTTTTTTTACTAATTTTACAACAATTGAGGAAAGAGGAAAAAATCCTCCCACACCAGGGAACAAATTTTCAGACACAAAGTACCAAAATGCATATATACATATGATCAAGCCTTTCTGATAATCAGTACTAAAAATAGCCCAAGAGTCAAAAAATTTAGACTCCAGTCTTTATTCTACATAAATACAATTTATGATTAACAACTAGCTTTTAAGTCAACCTCAATTTCTTGTAAACTAGAAATAATTTCCTTCTCCTGATTACTGTCAAGAGTAAATACGTGACTTATATGTTATAAAATATAACACAAATAGCAGTTATATGTTTATGAAACCTGAATTAGCTGGCAATAAACACCAGGAAGAGCAATAAAATGAGAAGCCTGTTTTCTTAGGGATTAATTTAAGTAGGGCAATACCTGACCAGAATCATCATCTAAGGCCTGTAACTTAACATTGCTAAATGGCAACCTGAAAAAAGATTTACCATTAACAACCCTAATGCTAATGGCCATCATATAGCTGCTGTAAAAATTAACTGGTCAAAAGCAACTGTTAAATACTGAGAACAACAGACTCACAGAAAGACGACAGTTTGCAACACTATGATTCCGACAATTACCACAGCCTTCCAGTTTCCTAAGTGTGGTAGTTTGAATGAAAAGGGCCCCAGAGGCTCACATGGACTGGCACTATTGGGATTTGTCAAATTTACTTGAGTAGGCGTGGCCTTGTTGGAAAAAGTATGTCACTGGGGGAGGGCTCTCATGTCTGAGAAGCTCAAGCCTGGCCAGTGTGTTGTTGTCATTTCCTGTTGCCTGCAAATCCAGATGTAGAACTCTTTGAGTTCCTTCTCCAGTACCATGTCTGCTTCAGGCACCCAGGCTTCCCACCATAACAATAATGGACTAAACCTCTGGGCTTTAGTCTAAGCAAGCCCAGATTAAATGTTTCCTTTATAAAAGCTGTCATATGGGGTCTCTTCACAGCACTAACTAAAACAATACTTTAACACACATAAGCGTGTGTACATTATTAAGACATAATCAGCATAACTGATTTTATCTCAATCTCTTGGGGGAAATACTACTTAATTGTATCTTTTTTGGCTCTCCTCTTAAAGCAGGCATTTACCCACTAAGCATCTCTGCTCTGCATGAAATTAAACATATGTATACAAATTGTATGCTTCTAAATTAAACATATCTATACTTCTACATTTCAAGTAATCATTTCTTCTTTACAATACAGTAACCTGTTTTTATAATACAAACAAGTAGCTTAACAAAATAATGAAATTTAAAAAAGGAAATAAAAGCTTAATTTCATAAATAACTTTCAGATGTTAGGGGAAAAAAATGAGCAAACCTATGATTTCCCCAAACTTATTTTCTCAACATTGATTTAAATCTGAATGCAGACTCATTCAAAGAAACTACGGTGATCAACAGTTTTGCTAAAGTGGAAAGCAGGTAGTGAACTACCTGCTCTAACATCTTATCTGTTACTATTACTCCTCTCTAACAAACACTCCAGGACAGTTGTAATCTTTTAACACCATTGCCACAGATATTAAGTTACATTAAAACTGATAAAGCTATCTTGTAAAGATATATCACCAGCATCAACTCAATCTCATTCCAAGGGTAGTCACAGTTCCTGAGAACTAGCATACTTTTGGGATAGAATACTTTGTACCAAAACTAAACTTTAGTCCAAACACAATGCAGATAAATCTTTCGGCTATTCTCTCATGACCACCTTATTCAAATACTAGAATGCTATGCAGTCATGATAAAAGTTCATAACCCTAAAAACAGAGAACTATCTACAACAGTTTGCTGGAAAAAGTAGGCTTCATAAAAATCACATACTATGAACTTCCCTTTAATAAAAATAATAAACACTTTCAAGCAGGTTAAAAAACAAAACTGTAAAGTTGGCCATTGAGACAGCTCAGCGAGTAAAGGCATTTGCTGGCAAGCCTGACGACCTGAATTTGATTCAAAAGTACATTATCACAAGGTGGAGTGAGCACCAAACTCCATCTGCCACTGTGCACTGGGGGGGTAGGAGGGTAAGTTTGTACCTAAGTAGACATACAAGATGAAATAAATACGTAATAAAAATTTAAAAATGCACATTTTAAAGTCATGGATTAATATGATTACATACACATGTAATACCATAAAGAGGGCAAGGAAAGAACAGGAATATTTTGGAGCTAGCCTGGGTATATGTATGGTGATCTAGTTTCAAAATGAAGTTTATTAAAACAAAAACAAAACCCAATGCTAAATCACACCATAATGGGAAGTACCTAATTTGGGTAGGGAAGTAAGAAAAGGGTACGAGGTAGAGACTCTTTCTATTTAAGAGTTTAAGGAGACATTTTAGAGTTGCTACCTATTTGGTCTTTGAAAGCCATCCATTGATGGCTTTTGTACAAATACACCCTGAGAAGTAGCAATGATACTGTAAGCTAAATTAAATTAAAAATCAGAGAAGTTGAAGTACTGCCATTCAAACCCCATAAGCTGCATAGCATGGTCTTAAAAAGTCTTTTTTGGAAGCTGGCTCTTTTCATTTCATGGTAAAAATGTGTTTCACCGATATCTGGTATTTTCAGGACACTCTCCTTTTCCCCTTCCTCTTCAAATCTTTCGTTTTCTTCATTTCTTGACCAAGATGCATTAAAAAAAACAATTACTGAGGGCAAGGGGGAGGACAGTCACATGTGGGTCAGAGGACAAATTGTGGGAATCAGTTGTCTCTTTACACCATGTGGGGTCTGGAGATTTATTTCCGCACTGAGCCATCTCCCTGGCTACAGACGTCCTTCTTACAGGCTTGCTGACTATGCCTGTACTTGTATACAAGGGTATGGAACACCTAGCAGACAGAATCAAAACTTCAAGCTCTTAACGAGTCACTTTTGCTTCACCAGTTTCAGGCACAGAATTCTTAACTCACACACACACACACACACACACACACACACACACACACACATATACAGTTAACTCAAACTTTACATAATACAGATGCTGCTAAGAGATTCACATAAATGAAAACTGACTTTCTTTTTCTTTTTTCCTTTTATTTTTTTCTTCTTCTTTTGAGATTATAAAGCTCTGGCTAGCCTCAAACTCACAGAAATCCACTGACATCCAGAAGCACCTGTGCATACCATAACACCTGGTAAAGACATTGAATAGAACAGCCTAGTATCTATAAATCTGGATTTTTTTTTTTACTATATTGCATCAAATTAAAATTCAGACACTATAAGAATTCCACAAGAATCTTTCATAGAATCACATTTTCTAAAAGGCTTTAGGTTTTAATCAGAGATAATAACATCTATATGAAAAGAATTTCAATTACCTTCTATGAAATATACTAACCTTATATTCCTTTGCAGTTAGATGTAAACTTATCTTAAATCTCACTGAGAGAAAATAAGAAACAATTCATTCTTTTCAGCTTTGGTCTTAGCTACGATGAAGATCAGAATACAATTCTACTTAGCCTAACTCGTGGTCAATCTCCGGTATTTTCTGACACTCCTGATATTTTAGTTAAGTGTAACAGAATTCTATCACATGCATGTTTTAAAAGCATGAGTAAGATCGCTACTGTCAACATTAAGAACTTGGTCCAAGATGCACACACTTGGGAAGACAGAGGCAGGCGGATCTCTGTGAGTTCAAGGCCAGCCTGATCTACAAAGCGAGTCCAAGGCAGCCAAGTCTACAGGAGAAACCTTGTCTTAAAAAAAAAAAAAAAAAAAAAAATTGGGTCAGAAGCCACCATTCTATATAGCAACTTCTAAATTATCAACAAGCTATAAAACACTCAAGCTGAATAAATTTAAGACATTTGCTGTCACTTAATTTTTAAATTAGACGGTTGGGGCAGATAAAGTTGACAAAAAGGTTTAGTATTCTTGAAGTATCTGAAAATACATGGTTCTTTACAGAAAATAGTAAAAGTTATACAATTTTAGGTTTGCTTAAATTTACTTACCATGTCTTTTTAAAATCAATAGTTGAAATTTAAAAAAAAAAAAGCTTACATACCTTATGTAAACAAGTGTCCACTACCCAATTGCACACACTCTCCAGGTCAGCAGACACTGCAAGCCTAGACTTAACAAATTCACAGAGCTCCTCATTACTCATCACATCCCAGATCCCATCACAAGCCAAGACGACAAATTCATCCTCTTCAGATCTTAAAATCTCATAAACCTCAGGCTCTGGAGAAACAAGTTGTTCTGTTGGGCCCTTGCCATCAACGCACTTGTAATCGTAGTCCCCAAGAGCACGAGATACTGCTAATGAACCATTCACACGCTGTATCATTACACTGCCTCCTGCATTTTGGATGCGCTCCTTTTCCATTGGATTACAAGGTTTGTGATCCTGAGTAGAAAAGCAGACTTCTCCATTCCTACACAAAACAGCTCGGGAGTCACCACAGTTGATAAAGTACATATGTGTAGGTGAAATCATAACGCCCACTGCAGTTGAACCGCTCCTGTCCATCCCATTCCTGAGGTCTGAAAAGTTACGCATATACTCATCAATTTTCAAAAAGCCTGTTCTGATCCCAGTCTTAACGCTTTCCACTGAGGGTTCAAGAGCAGAGCCTAACTTGCCAGCCGCCCTGAAGTCTTCATTAGTAGTGATGTGTTCTAATAAATGCATGGAGCAGTAATTTGCCACTCGGGATCCAGCATGACCATCATAAACTGCAAAAAATGACCAGTTTTCCAAGCCGTGAGGGATGCCCACAACAGCTGTGTGCGCATCTTCCATTTCTACTCTCCATCCTTGCATGCTGCTCAGGCCATAACGCAAACCATTCCCAGCACCATGGGCATTGTGTTTCTCAGTTTTGGGTTTATCCAAAAATGCACCCATGTTTAATAATGAATCTGAAAGAGAAAAAAAAAAAGGGTGTTACATGTTTATAGTTGACATAGTTTATCTGCAGTTCTGGACCACCTCATTTCATATGTATTTTCAGAAGTACCTGACTTACTGGGGTAACAACAGAAGTTCCCTGAAGCTCTTTTTAAGACACAGATTTTTTTTTAATGAAGTAGTTTTATTTTATGTGCATTTATTGGTGTTTTGCTTGAATGTATGTCTGCGTGAAGGTGTTGGAACCCCTGGAACTGGACTTACAGACAGTAAGCTGTCACTTGGGGCTAGGAATTGAACCTGGGTCCTCAGGAAGAGCAGCCAATGTTCCTAACTACTGAGCAATCTCTCCAGCCTTCAAGACACTGATTTTTAAACCCAGCACATAAGACAGAATCCAACGAATTAAATCAGAATCTTTGTAGGTAGACCAAGACATCAGTGGATCAGCGGGGTTTTGTTTGTTTGTTTGTTTGTTTGTTTGTTTTTCTCCCCTTTGCTTTTCTTTCTTTTTTTTAAAGACTGTCTTTCTGTGTCACCCACTGTCCTAGAACTTACTATGTAAACCAGGCTAGTGTAGACTTCACAGAGAAATTTTTACTTGCCTCTGTCTCCCAAGTGCTGGAATTAAAGGTGTGAAACTACCACACAAAGTGGCTATCCGTGTTTCTCAAAAGCGCTCTGATGATGAGAATATACAGGCAAACTGGCTGTGGTGCTGCATGCCTATAATCCCACCACTGCTAGGTGGAAGAGGATCAAAATTTGAGGCCAGCTTGCATTATGCATCTCAAAAAATTGAAAGACTGTGCAGCAGCCAAGCTCAGAGGAAAGAAATTGAGAAATACAACATGGTTAATCCCCCCCCCCCATTCAGCTGGGCATGATAGCATACTTGTGAGGGTAAGGAAGAAAGACCCAGAGTTGTCCCAAAACAAACCAACAAGCACCTGGGCAAGCAGCCTTGACAGCTCCTGTTCCTCACTTCAGTGATTTACAACCTATTTTCTCTCTGAAGTCACTTGATCTAGATTCAAAGTTCTGAATGAGCAGCACCCAACTGACTGAGTTTAAAGCAATATACTTTTTGAGTGTATTTACATTCTCTCACAAATTAACTTTAATAAAGTTCTAAACTGATCTTATTTTAAAGCTGGGATTCTATAAAAATTTTTAAGCATTATAAAATTCCACTATCACTTTATATATAATGTGCACATGTATGGCTGGAGAATAACAAACTATATGATCCATGCATCCAACCACGAAGTTTATCACGGCCAAGAACGCTCCCTTTCTCATCCATGGATGTCTATCCATAGTCAGCAAGACCTCGAGTTTGCACCTAAGTGTTCCTTGTAGTCCAACCATATTCCTGCACAATTCAGTTCCACACCCTTAGGAAGTCACAACGCTACGCAGGATATATCACTGTCTCTTCTTTTCTTGCTCAGCACTATCGTTCTAAGGTTCATGTACACTGGCCCAGCTAAACTCAGTTCATTCATATATGATGCCTAAATCACAACTTAGACTCCCCACTACCAACTAATGTTGGAATTTTTTTGCTTTTTATTGTAGACAACAATGTTTTGGAACAATCCTGTTGTAACGTATGAATTTTCCTACAATATATACCTGTATTTAGGAAATAGCAATATTTTCTACACTATATATCTGCCAACGGGCTTAGAATATATATACAATTGATAGTGAAGAGAATTTTTTCTGGGACAATTTTTTGTCCCAGTAAAAAAATTGTAAAACAAACGTTTCAAACAAGTGTTATCCGAATATTCTCTAATACCACTATCTTTAAATTAATTTATTTTTGGTAGCAAGTAACCTGTAACTTTAAAAAGAAAAAAACTATACACAGCTAAACATTTATATGTTTAGCTCTCAAAGACTAAGAAACCTAACCTTAGATGATTCTTCTTTGTATAGCTGCAAACTGGCCTTTGTCCTTCCTTAGTGTCTCTGAATCCACTTTACTAAGGCAGTGCTCTGTGCTTCTGAGGAAGCACTGTTACTTTTCTGACCAAGGCGGCAGCTTAATGTATCATAAAAAGCTAAGGCGCACTCTTGAAATGTGCACCAGACAGCAATATGTACAATCATCAGGACACATTAAGAACTACAGATCTCCTTTAAGGATGACTTAAATGTAACTGTGGTTTGTTTTTGTTTTTTTGTATGAACAGACTGGGTAGAGAGATGGCTCAAAAGGGTTATGTTTCCAGCAACCTTGTAACTCCAGTTCCAAGGGATCCAATGCCCTTTCTGGCCCTGTCAGCCTTAGGTACCCACACAGCACACTTACATATATGCAGGAAAGACACTCTTATACACAAAAGTGAATCAATCCTTTAAAAAAACAAAGATAGAGGCCGGACTTGTGAGTCAGAGGCAGATGTATCTCTGTGAGTTCTACAGCAGCCAAGACTGCATAAAGAGACCTTATGGGAGGGGAAGGAGAGAGGGAGGGCTGGAGAGATGGGAGGGAGAGAAGGGCAGAAAATATAAAGTTTAAGCCTCCTGACTTGAAGACAAATTTTGGCTGATCTTATCAGTCATGCAGTAAATGGAACACACCTTTGGGTTACAATCACACCCAACTATAGTTCATATTCACTAACATTCACATAAAAATGACAATGTGGAAAATAAAAGGACATCAAAAAGGTTTTTTTTTTTTCCCAAAGAGCAAGTGACTTAAAACATAAAGACAAAAAAATAATATACTAAACATGTGTGTAATTGAATCTTATAGACTCAAAATTAAGAGTGTGACAATTTCTAACACAATTTGTATCTCCATTTTTAACATTTTTGTTTGTTTTTAAGACAGGGCTTCTACACGTAGCCTTGGCTGACCTGGAACTCTGTAGATCAGGCTGGTCTCAGCCTCTGCCTCCGCCTCCCAAGGGCTAGGATTAATGACGTGTATTACCACCACCTGGCTCTGGACCTCCATTTTTTTTAAACTCATGCCTTTCCTCTTTTCTGTCCATCTCTGTCAAGTCGTGGTTCCTGAAACACCAAGTTTGGAGCTTCTGGAACATCTTCTTCCAAACCACTTTACTAAATTCCAGTAAGATTTTAACATCAAGGGTAGCAGAGTAGATTAGGTATTTGATGGTGTACTTTATTTATTTACTTTTAGATATCTTCTACCTTTTACAAAAGTTTTAAAGATCTTATTTTATCTCAATTACTTTGAGTCAAATTAAAGAGGCCTTCCACCTCTGGGTCCCTTACGAGGTAAACAGTAATCAATACAGCTGGGAAAGAAAAGTCTGGACTTCTACAGGCTTGTACCTATACATATATTTTATCTATTATGTATCTATCTATCCATCCATCCATTCATTCATTTTTGTTGGCTAGTCTCTCTGTGTTGCCCAGGCTGGCTTCAAACTCCTAATCCTCTGTGCTTAGTCCTGCTTTAACTGGAGGTACTAGGGTGAGCTGGCACGCCTTAGGGGGGACCCTCTTCACTAAGGATAGGGGAAATGGGAAAAGGGAGACTTGAGGGTGAGACTGGGAGGAGAGGAAAGAGGGGGCTGGTATCAGACAGCAAAATGATTAAAAACAAAACAAACAAACAAAAACCTTCCTGATCCTCCTGGTTTAACATCCTGAACAGCCAGGACTGACTGTGCCATGTTTTTAGGTACATAATAAGGTTTACTCATTTATCAAGAGTCATAAAGTCATTTTAAGCACTGATAGCTTCCATTCATGGTATCATCTATAAGTTTTAGCTATGAAAATTTATAAGAGTTTTTAAAAAGCTTATTGCTGTCAGATTTTACTAAAATGACTCTACAGTTCATGTAATAGGAAGCCCAAAAAACAGAAGTATAGACACACATTTAAACTTCAAAGAATTAAACAAAAGTTTCAAAATATCTACAAAATTTATAGTGCTTATAAAAATTAATAGAAGAAAACTTACTTGTGCCCACAGTATAAACACATATGGTAAGTACACCATCTTATGGCAACCAACTGTGAGAAATAAGGAGAATGTCTGCACACTAAGTTTGATTCTTAGCTCTCTGGAATATGTTTTCCTAGAAAAGAACCACTCTTCCTGTTGTGAAATTCTGGTTTTAGAGTCTGAATGATAATTGCCAATTGCTTCGAACAGTGATGAGAGTACACAACGAGGGTACTGCTCACCAGAAACACATGCAGTTCAACTGGCAGGTATTTCCTAAAAATGGACTACCTCTTTTAAATAAACCATTAAGGGTGTCACCAGATGGCTCTTAGTGCTTGCTTTGTTTTGTTTTCAAGATAGGATCTCATGCTATAGCCCAAGACAGCCTTAATCTTGAAGCAACCCTCCTGTCCTCCTGTTACAAGGGTCCAGCTTACTATGAACTGTGGATGATAGAAAAAAGCAAGGTGTAAAGCCAGGAAGTAGTATTCCTTCATGGTCTATGCCTTCAGTTCCTACCCTAACTTCCTTTGACTGTTTGCTGAAATAAACCTTTCTTATCCAAACTGCTTTTGTTGATGGTACTTTATCACAGTAATAGAAACCCTGAGACAAATACCTCATTGTTTCCAGCCAATATGCCTTAACTGTATGAACACTAAGAAGCCTTTCCAACCATATATACTTAAATTCATCTTACATTGAATAGGAAAGTTTCTCTATCACAATTAACTATTTACTACTTTATTTAGTGGTAAGTAGATTACTTTATTACTAGTGGTAAATAGATTTACTTTAGTGGTAAATAAATTACTTTAGTGTTTATTACTTCATATATATGCTCATGTGACATGAAATCAGATTTCAACTTCAACTTTTTATTCAAACAAATAAATCTATCTTCTTACTGAAACTTATCTTCAATCAAAACTAAACTTGCTTATTACACATAATTATTTACCAGATACAGGTTTTACTTATTTATTTAGAGAAGAAGCTATCAATTTGACATGTTCAATTCAAGAATTTTTAAATTTGTTTTTAGGTTTTTGAGGCAAGACC